CAAAATTGTATTCAGAAAGAATAAACCAGTTTCATTTAAGAAAGGACTTGTATCGCTAAAGTTTCTTCAGAAAGAATTTTTACGGAAAATTAACTAACGACCGGAGGCGTAACAATATTATTTATGATTTTTTTTACTTTACTCCTATTTTGATATAATACCCGCCTTCTACACACTGCACGAAATTTCTAGAACATAACTCATGTGCCTTTTAAAAAACATCTAAATTAAAACATGAAAAATATAGCTTACAAAAGTAGGTTTAATTTTTTCTTATGACTCTATATATTAGTTAAACACCTTCAAGCAATTCTAAACAGCTGTCACTAGTTGCTTTTAAAGGTCAGTTACAAATTATTTTATTTCTTTAAACAAACTTAGAGAATATATATATATATGTCATACTACCTTTCTAAACAATAAAATATGTGCTCTTTAAAAGTCACTGGAAGAGACTGATACTCAAAATAAATTTCTTCGTTGTAATGTAATTACATGGATCTTGTTTTTACCAGATATCTAATGAATTTGTAGGTCGCCTTACAGTTCCCATTGGTACCTGGGTATCCTATTTTTAAATAAATGGCTTAAGCCACATTTTTCACAAAGCTTGGCTGAATATTTTTGTGTTCACTTATGCTACGAACATTTTGAATTTAGTATAATCATAATCAGTAATACTTTCGTCGCAAGGGTAAATGAAATTATAAAGTCAAAATTATTATATACAATCATACACAACATACGTAAATATAAATATGTTTAACCCATAGCTCAAAATGCAAGAGACCACATGCGCCCACTTTTTAACTACTTAATTCTTATTTAATAAGAGATAATTACACCATTTCCGCATAGGACGGTGGTCTGACATAAGTATGTATTCACTCATGACCTCAAGTAACAGTATTTAGGCTAACGCTAACGTTGATGTCTGAACCGACTCATCAGTGTATTGTACAAACTGACAGTGACGTCATGTCTGATATAAAATAGTACATTGTTGTTATGATAATATGACTAAATTTCACCAAAATGTTTTTATCTTAATATAGTATTTTAAATTTCTATGATAAGGGAAAGATATATATGTTGTATTTCGGCAAAAAATAGCTATACGTTAATATGAATCATTGAAGAAAATCGATAACAAAATTATTCTCTGCACTCATTGGGTGGGGTTGAGTAGATGTATAAATCCGCAGAAGGAGGTGCTGTTGCGGTGTTTGTATCAGTAGTGACCTCTTGGTACTTGTTAATCCACATTATATTGATTTAAAAGACTGCAGGTAATTTAACGTTTTCCTTACAAATCTAGAGATTTGTTTTAAATGTGTTTAAGCTAAAGATTCTGTAAACTTGGATAGACTTTTGAATTATATATTTCTAAAAAATATGTATAGGGTAACATGGCGTGTTGAATTCAACACCGGGTTATCGAGCTGGAGTCTAGGGTAATATAGCGGTAGCGTTACTCTCTGTCATATTGCTGTGAGCTTATCGAGCGGACAAATAGTTTGTGTATCGAGTCATTTATTTTGGGTTCACCCTATTTTTCAGTTCGTCGAAAAGTGAGTTCTGCTAATATGGCTGAATACAAACATAAGTATCATTTATTTCTTAAGCAGTTTATCTTTTAAAATTAATAATTTTAT